GTTACCCTCTATACTTGTTAGGGTCATTTATGATGGTTGTGACTATTTAACAGCATTATTTGTGAATTTGAAAGCAGAATTTTTAGACAGTGGATGGTTGTGTTTATCGGTTATTTAAAAGTTATCAGAAGGAGTGTGGCAGATGGTGAAAAGGGTGACATTCCAGGGTGCAAATAGGAACATAATGACATATTGGATCAGAGTTTTGTGGTTTGGCAGAAACACAGTGAGGCCAGGAGGATGTTTACAAATTTAAATGAATGGGCAGAATCCAGAGTCTCAAAAACTGAGATTAGGGCAATTCTAGGATTAAAAGAATAGGAAGTCAGGAAACAGGAGAAGAATAAGAATGAACCTTAAGCAGAGACCATGAGGAGATCAAGATAGATTAGTTCATTTTGGTTTTAATTTCTTAATACATAACATAATAAGGAAACTATAACAGAAGACAATTTCCTGCCAAGTGTAGTTCAAATCATTATTTACCAAGTACCTGTTACGTGAAAGGGTATTTTGCAGGAAAGCAAAAGAGCATTGTTTCCTGCATGGACTCTGATAATAGTTAAATTATGAGTGGATCTTATTGCTGCTGGAAGACCAGATAAAAATGAAAATGAAATGAAGCCATGCATATTTATCTCTCTGGTGGAAATTAAGGTTCTATCTCCTAGTGTTTTCTTCAGATTAAAAAAAAAAAGGAAATAAAGTTTAGTCCAATTAAAGAGATACATCTGAAGATCTCAACCTTTTCTGCTATTGTAATAGATTTGGAAATATCACTTTAATTGTCTGCTTGGCTATGCTTGAGATAAAGTTTATCTTTATGCCTGCATGATCAAATAAGGAATCAGTTGAAATGTCAGGGAGTGCATGGGCACCTAATAACAAGAGTTTTGAAGAATGCATGGATTTAATACTTTCCCAGATAAAAGGTAATTTAGGACTTTAATATAAGACATTTGTTGCCCTTGGGAGTATTTTAAAAGCATGCCTCATTTTAACATAAACTGTACTACAGTTTATTAAAGTAGCACAAAGATCAGAAACATTCAAGATCATTCAAGATGTTGACCAAAGCAATAATAGAGCACATACTACTGATTCAAGACAATTTATCTGAATTTTAGAAGCACCTTGCTTTTTGTATTATACTATTGTATTCTGTAGCCTTCTGTCCCTGGAGAAATATAAAGGTTGGAGTTACTCCTATCCAACCTTAAATTTTACTATAAATAACTTGTGTGAAAGATCCTTCCAAAATTATCAATTATAAAATCCCCAGACTTCTTATAGCTGCAAAAATAAGTTATTATTTTTTTTAAAAAAAGGACTTCAAGTTTCAATTATTTCACAGTCATCACAATGATATTTATAAATATCTACTTGAGTCAACTATTATATATTTGCATGACAGTCTCCCTGGTTCTTCCTATATGTGTGCGCATCCTTTTCTGAACAGGAAATGGAATATATGACAAAATAAATAATGTACTGTCATCTATTTTGAAATATTAAAACACATTTAGGATTTTTTTTCGACATTGCATTGAAATATAGTTGCTAGGAATGTCAGGAATATGTTGATTATATTCAGAAAGACAATAATTACTCAGAGAACTTCTCAACATTTTCTGGAAAATTTCCAAGACATTTTGGGCACCTAAACTCATACAAGACAGGTAGAATTCTAACACTCTTTGTTTAAAAGATTCTTCATATGACATATGTTTCTAAATCTTTTATCACAGTCAAGGACTTTAAAATTGAGTTAAAATATCAGTTTTAAGATAGTAGATCCAAACTTATGGACAGTATTTAATGGAATATCCCCAATGAAGAATTGCATAGAAATTCCACAGCTTTATTGAATGCTTCTGAGACTGCTTCAGATCTATTGCTTCATTAGTGCATTCAGATAGTGTATGTATTTGAAAACAAAAGATGGTACTCGAGTTCTCTCCCATATGATACCCATCAAAGTTTACATCTAATATGCATCTTTATTTTCTGTCTTCTTGTTAGTTTGAGTTCTTTGTGCTAGCTAGCTGTTCAAAATCTCCTTGAATCCTAATCCAGGGTTAGCTATATTAGCTTGGCTTCCAACCATTCTATTATCCTCTGTCTTCATCCAAATTCTTAAGAATTAGAATTAAGAACCAATCTTGAGTACACATTATTAGAGATTATCCTTTATTTGGCATTGAAAATTAACACTACTTATTTACAGATTTAACATCCTGGTATGGTTTCCATTTATTCAATTCATATTAATTTTTGTCTGCTTTAAAGTTATTCAAGACTCTCTGTAATAATTTTTTTTTTTTTAATGGCTGTATCATGAGGTGTGTGGGATCTTAGCTCCCAAACCAGGGATCAAACCTGTGCTTCTAACAGTGGAAGCACCAGGAGTCTCATCTACTAGACCACCAGGGAAGTCCCAATACTTGGGACTGGTTTATTTTTTACATATTATATTTCGAGTTTAGAGGCATTGCTCATCATGTAATATTGCAATTTAAGTGAGATAAAGTTTGTTCTCATATATATTTAGATGTATGTAAATATATATGTATCTTCTTATCTCTTTCATTTTAGTTCAAAATTTGCTTGTCAAGTTCAGTGAGCCTACTGCCAAGTACATTTTCTACAGGTTGAGAGAGGAACACAATATCCCTTGTCAAGAGCTCATTATTCTGCTATGCTAAGCCTTTCTAGGTAGGAAGCTTCTGCTTTCTGAATCCTCTTTCTTTTCAAAAGTCAGAACTTCAGCTGGGAAAATGAAAGAATATTGTCATGTCTCCATGTCTGACAGCTTTCCATTTGAGAACTTAAAGTGCCCTAGAAACATATTCTGGCTTTCTTCTCATTTCTCATCATGTTTCTGATTGTATTTCCAATAATCATCTTGATAAAGAACATGATACCAGATGAAGAATGTAAAGTGGGCACAAGCCTAGAGTCCTAAAGGGGAGTCCCCATCTACCCTTATATGTTATCATGTCATTCCACACATGAGGTTTCTTGGGACCAGGGACCAGTGTCTTCCATATTTTTTTCAGAGGACTGACTGTGAGATCCTCAAACATGTTTGTGTCTGTATCTGTTCATATCTTTTCCTTAGATTAAGGAATTGTGAATAGAGGCAATTTTATATTATCACTATGCAACATCCTACAGCTGATAGATGTACTTAATCAAAGGTCTGGGTTTCTGAGCATGTACTTGTGATAGTTTTACTCTTAAAAACAGATATGATGCAATTTCTCCTCTTTTTTCATCATTCTGAAACCTGCTTCAGAGTAGACAATCAATATGCATTTCTTTAAATTTCTCTTCTTCCAAGTAAGAAAATACTTATAGTAACTTATTAGATTATTTATATTCTATAACACACCTTCAACAACTTATATAAATGTATATACTCATATAGAACTATATGTAAATTTTACATATATAAATAACTCATATGTTTTATTATCTGTATTCCATTGAATATTTGAAATATCTGTCTCTTGGATTAGTTTGGCAATATACAATCAAAAATACAACTATAGGGTGTTATATCAAGATTATCATAAGCATATTTATAAGTAATAGAATTCCAATTTTCTGAATAATAGAAATTGATATGAGAAAAAGAATTCCTAGAAGTAATTATCTAACAATTTACTAACTTTTTAGTGAAAAATAATTAATTGACAGCTGTAGCCAAATGTTGGAGTCTCTGGGAAGCAGGCTCTGGACTGGAGCTTAGAGGACAGGATGCTTCTTACAGTGTTCCTTCATGATCAGCAGTTGTGGATCACAGTGAGAGTGGAAGAAAGGGCAGAGTGAGCAATTAAGCGACCATAAAATTCGAACATGTCTATAGCTGACCCCATGGGAAAGCTGGAACTAAGCTTGTCCTTCAAGGTTTTCTGCATTTAGCAGAAGTGACTTGATCTTTATAACCTTGCATTAATGAGTCATTGATTATGTGCTGCTCCAGAAGGATGTGACCTTGGGCCAGGTAGCAATCTACAGTTCAGGTAATGAGTCACTCCATGTAGGAGTTCTGAACAGCACATATGAATGTGCACCTAAAGGCTCTTTTAGCTAATAGATGCAGAAGGAGAAATAACAATGCTAAAATAAACATGTCCTAAGTGCATCCAAGGCCATCAACATGAACTGCAAGTGAACTGGTGAAGCATCAGTATGGCATCCTGGTTTTGAGCAAGTTCTAGAATGTATTGGGGTGTAGCTTGATTATTTTCTGGCTCCGTGATTTGGGGCATTTTACCCCATGGGACTCAGGTTATTCATTTTAAAAGTATTATTCCTAATAAAAATGAATTTCCCTAAAATGTAAGGAATTTGGCATCCTCTCCCTTTTACGATTGTATGGATCAATCAAAAGCCATCATGCAATTATTTACCATAGTATATGGCATTTTAAAAAAGCACATAAAAATGGAATTAACTATTTTATTCATCATTTACTTTCCCATGGTGTTCCCACTATAACAAAAGTTCTTCAGATCACAAGTGTAAAACAATGTATCAATTTATCTGGTGTCTCCTTAAATATATTACCTGTACTAATGGTTCTTAAACATTTTTGTATATTAACCTCACTTGAAGTTTGCTAAAAATATAGATATCTGTTTCTATCAGAGTCACCAGGTTTGGGATAGGGACACTGGCTCACCCCACAGTTTGGTGTCCATGAATCCCTTTCAATCCTTTGGCTAAAATGTCTACACCCCAAATGCTTATTGCTTCTACCTCCTCTGTCATCCACTATTTCCCCTCCCCTTTAGTCCAGGCCTTATTTTTCACATAGTTTTGTCCATTTAATAACCAGTTTTAGTAACTGGTTAGTAATCTCCTTTCACGTTCCTTTCTCCATTTCATAAAAGAAAAAAAAATACACATACCCATGTTATCCATTAAAGGAAATGTGACTCTTTAACGGCGGCTTTACTAAGTACATTTTGTTCTGCTTATGTCTGTCATAGATAACACAGCCAGCATTCTGACAAGGCGGAGGAGATTTAGTCGAACTATTCAGGATGTGTATTATCTCCCCATTATGATCTCTGATGGTGGAATCCCCTCTCTCAGCAGCAGCAGCACCCTCACCATCAGGGTTTGTGCATGCGAGAGAGATGGGCGCGTGCGGACCTGCCATGCCGAAGCCTTCCTGTCCTCGGCTGGTTTGAGTACAGGAGCCTTAATCGCTATTCTTCTGTGTGTTGTCATTCTCCTAGGTAAGTCACTCTAAATCCTAAGGGATGATGGCAGTTCTGAGTGTACCCTACAGTGGTGTGTTCAAAAATAGAGGCAGAAACATACAGAGACAGAGTCATTTTGACAAGACTTTAGAGCTAGGAATGCTTTATATAATACCAAAACTTGACTGCACTGATTTTCTTTTAAATAACTTTCTTGATACCATAATTAATCTTGAAATAAGTTGGTTCAAATGTGATGAAAGAGTTGAAATGTGAAAAGAAAAGATAGGATAAGAGAAATCTTTTTAGAAAAGATCCACTTTAGAAAGAATTGGTATTAAGTATTCTGAATCCCATACTGAAAGGGCTTTTCTAATTTATTTCAAAGAACATAAGGGACATTATTTACAATGAATCTGACCACTAAATAAAAAGAATAAGTTTCCTGCAGAAACTTTTATCAGTCTAAAATATTAGTTGGTCATCAACCTCAGTTGAATTTTACAGGACTAAGTCTAAAATAATTTTTGGTCTCAGCGATATCAGATATTATTATTAAATTAAAACTAATGTATTTTAGTTTCTTTCTTGCGTTACATTTTATTGTAAAAGAAAATAATTTCTCTAGTTTTATGTTATCTTTGATGTCAAAATATTACCAACTGCATTTGAAGCCAATATTACTATAAACTCTTTAGAATTACTATACAAAGTGAGACAGCAAATCCAGATTTTTTTATAAGAAAGGTAGATGTAAAGAATCTTTTGATTTAGAGTTTAAATGGGTATATATATATGTTTCCAGTATATCTTCACCCTCTAGCTTTCTCATAGCAGCTATATATTTTGCTCTGTTCTCTGTTCTTATGTGCATATGTAAGAAAAACAAACAAAATGCATACTTTGGTGAGACAGAGATATTCTTGCAAGGAATGTCCCTTGTTTCGTTCCTGGGTTAGAAGACAAATTACCTGTACAGAGGAGTGGAGATCAAGGTGACATGAGAGTGAGTAGAAAGGATGGAGTAAAATGAAAAAAAAAAAAATGGTGGGTTTTGTTTTAGGAGTGTAAGGAGAAGTTTAAAATAAGTGTGTCCTATCATAAAATTAGTATGCTTAAAAAAGACAGCTGTGAATGAAGTGGATAACAGATCTCATGAAGAGAGCAGGTAGGCAAACCAGTTAGGAATATAATGCATTTGTCTCACTCAGACACAGCATAATTTGGACCAGCACATTCCCTTGTGGCTCAGCTGGTAAAGAATCTGCCTGCAATATGGGAGACCTGGGATTGATCCCTGGGTTGGGAAGATCCTTTCGAGGAGGGAAAGGCTACCCACTTCAGTATTCTGGCCTGGAGAATTCCAAGAACTGTATAGTCCATAGGGTCGCAAAAAGTTGGACAGGACTGAACGACTTTCACTTTCACTGTCACTCAGAGTGGAAGTGAAGAAAGCTTGATAATATCAAGATGCTTTAGGGGAAATCAAAGGTGATATTGGGTAACAGGATGCAAATCACAGGATGAAAATATTTACCAAATTCTTCACTGAATGTGTATTGGAAGTACCTGAGATCCCATTTGAACCTTGCAGTGTTAATTATTTCAGGTCAGTAAGCAAGCATTTAATATTTATGATATGGTGTTTTTTCTAGAAACAAGTATCCAAAGGCTGAGTATAATAGCCAAAAATTACAGAAAACAAACAAACAAAAAAACCAATCTTGGATAAACTAGATATACAGTTGAGTTAGAACACTATCAAAGACTTTTCATCTCTTACTAAATGTGGATCTTTAAGATCTTCCTTTATCTTCCCAGAGCTGGGGGACACTAGAAATGCATTTTGTTAATGTCACCACATCTAGAGAAAGGATAGAGAAAGATAGAGAAAGAGAGAAAGGATAGACCAGGACTGAACTGTGATAAACTCCAGTGTGATCACCAAGTCAAGAAGGATAAAATACCAGAGAGAGAAAAGCAGAAATCACAGAAGAAGGAACAGAATTAGTAAGGGTGAGATCCTAAAATCAAAGAAAATCAGTGTATCAAGGAGGACAGAGCATTTAACCATGCAAAAATGCCTTAAAGTTGAGTAAATTGAGCAACAAAAAGTGTCAATCGCACTTGGCAATTTGGAGCATGGAGGTTTGACTCTTCGTAACAAGAGCTATTTCATTGTAGTATAGTCTTTTGTAATAGAAGCATGGTGATGAAGGCAACCAGGAAAATCAGATTTTTTTCTTTTTTTTAATTTAATTTTTTAAAGTATAGTTGATATGAAATATTGTGACTCAGTTATACACATATATTCTTTTTTTAATATTCTCTTCCATTATGATTTATCATAGGATATTATTCCCTGTGCTATACCGTAGGACCCTGTGCTTTATCCATCCTATATATAATAGTTTATGTCTCTTAATCCCAAACTCCTCTCTCTGGGTAACCACAAGTCTGTTCTCCATGTCTGTGAGTCTGTTTCTGTTTTGTAGATAGGGCCATTTGTGCCATATTTTATATTCCACATATAAGTGATATCATATGGTATTTTTCAAAGACAACAACCAAAAAAAACCCCAAAGAATAAACAGCTACAAACATTGATTCCTCTAGATTTCCTAACTGAAACTACAAAGAATAGAACTCAGTGACTTTTTGTAAGTCAACCATGTTTCAATTAAGGAAAAAAAAGAACACTCTGACATTAATATACATTCTTCCAAGTCCTTAATCTGAAAGATATTTCAGTTGGTGGAAGCCTGTTACCTTTGGCTTTTATTTTCATTTATCATCAGAAAATTATTTTGCACACTAAGACTAAAACCTTTAAAACTGACAGATATCAATGTAAGGTACATTTAGGTATAATACATAATATTCTTTACCAGCTGAGCCACAGGGAAAGCCCAAGAATACTGGAGTGGGTAGCCTATCCCTTCTCCAGCGGACCTTCCTGACCCAGGACTTAAACTGGGGTCTCCTACATTGCAGGAGGATGCGTTACCATCTGAGCTAGCAGAGAAGCCCCTATATTACACAAAACAACATTTTATTATTTCATGAAACAATACATTCCTTTAATTGACTTTATGAAAATGTTTTTATCCCCCTTTGAGGTAAATAAGAGAACATTTCTAAAAATTATGCTATACATCAGGCCTAATGAAACAAAGGTTACATTTGATATGTTCGCTCCTTCAATTTTTATTGAAAATCAAATGTCTTTACACTATAATTCAAAAGTTGCAGAATTTCTTAAGCTTGGGCTTAAGCAATCATTATTTATAATGTAATTTATATTTTTCATGGCATGTAAGGGCATATATTGTTATTCAGAAAATATATGGCTTACAAACTTCAAACATAGACATTTGTAATTTTGAAATAGCATTGACTAATATGTGAGTTCATAGGCTACAAGAAAAATATCAACAATATCAGAGGTAGCAATACTTTATTTTAGAACTTGTAATTCTGAATTTGCATTCAACCTCAACAGCTAAATAAATCATGAAACTAATATTTTGATACTGAAATGTTTCACTTAGTAGCTCTTTGTGAACATGACTGTGATTGTGGAAATTCAACCCTAGTTTTGCCACTAATTAACTGTGTGATCTCAAGACCCACAAAGTCTGTTTGCTTCTATTTCTGAACCTATGAAAATGAAGTTTCAACTAGAATAACCTTATAGTCATCTGTAAAATTTTGTGTTGCTTATTTATGTTTTGTTATAGGCTAAATATTATTCAATATTTTGCAGTTTGGTTAGACTCCATCTATGTATACATTGATTACTAGGAAATGGTGCTTGAAAACCAAACAGTCTAACTTTAAGTGCTAAATGTGCACCTTGTGGGTTGTGTTTTGTCAGGATTAACTTTTCAGATCCCTTTTAAGGAATGTGTAGGGAAAAAATTACAGTTAGCCATCATGATGCAATCGGTTTGGTGCTAGAGGATGGGGTTCTTGGAATTCCCTTCCTCTCCTGGGCATCTGACATCTCTTTCCCAACCCACTCCATTACTTGTCAAGGTCCAGAACTGTGGGCAGAGCAAACCAGGGCAAGAGATCATTTAATCAGGATCTAAAACGGACTTCTTCCAGCTACCTTCATAGTCCACACATCGCATATAATCAGCTGACTTAGATGAATTCACCAAGTAGTTTGCTCCTATTTGGGGATGTAAATTTCCTCCTGCATGGGAATCAAGGTGAATGTGGTGAGAGGAGAGTGAGGGGCTAGGAGAGGAAGTGAAATTGATGAGAAGATAAGTGTCAAACCTGTTTGCCCTCAGAGTTATTGTGAATGACTTTATGGATTCCCCTGGGTGTGAAAATATAAGTTGCAGTGAGAAGTGTCATTACGAATTATGGCTACAGAAGCTAATAAAAATAATCTCCCTGACTTGAGCCACTTCATCCTACCAAATTTAGTACAAACATATGATGATATAAAAAGAGAATCAAGTGATATTTAGGGGTAAAAATATCTGCTATGAAAAATATTTGGGGGGTATGTTAGGAGTCAATACATAATTTATAAATTTAAATAAATTTAAATAAACTATCTTTAAATAAATTTGGTCTTGTGATTTTGGGGAAGCACTTTGTTTTTCAAACTTTAAGAAATACTTTCAAGCAAAATTAGGTGTTTGGAATTTATAGGAACAGTAAGCTAATGTTTTAAAGTATTTAAAAATTATTTTCCTAGTGAGACAATTACTATTCATGAAGACTCAATTAACCCAGTGTCACACTGTCACTCTCAGAAAAGTCATTCTTTTGTTCATCCACATAAGAATTGTTTATGGAGTATCCGCTGTGTGCCATCTGCTCCAGAAACATCTACTAAACAAACATGAGTGTAAAGAAAGTCATTAGGAATGTACCTTCCACATTCTTCTCTGTATCCACATTCTTCTTTGAGTTGATTTAAATTTGCCATTGACTATCCCAAGTGGCGCTAGTGCTAAAGAACCCACCTGCCAATGCAGGAGACATAAAGAGATGTGGGGAAGATCCCTGGGTGGGGAAGATCCCCTGGAGGAGGGCTTGGCAGCCCACTCCAGTATTTTTGCCTGGAGAACCCCATGGACAGAGGAGTCTGGTGGGCTATGGTTCATAGTGTCACAGAGTTGGACATGACTGAAGCGGCTGAGCACGCATGCATGATGGTTTCACGCTAATTAAAACGGTGTGGCTCAGTTGGTAAAGAATCTTCCTGTAATTCAGGAGACCTCAGTTCGATCCCAGGGTGGGGAAGATCTCCTGGAGAAGGGAGTGGCTACCTACAGCAGTATTCTTGCCTGGAGAATTCCATGGACAGAGGAGCCTGGCAAGCTACAGTTCATGGGGTCAACAAAGAGTCAGACAAGACTGAGAGACTCATACTTTTACTTTCAAAGGGACTGTATGTCCATATTTGTCCTGATATTCTGGTGTAATTATAAGTGAAGTCCCTTTCCACCCTTAAAAAGTGTTCCAGATTGTATGGTTAATTATATATTGATCTTTATAATAAATAGGTTTGCAACAAATCTAGGAATCATTTGTCACTGGCAAGCAACTCTCTTTGCCTAGAAAGAAATAGATGTAAAACTGTACATTCAAATTTAACTAGCATCTATATTTTGAATCAACTCATATAAGTCAGGGATAGCGTTTTAAGCAACTAGAAGCTATCATGACAATAAATCCAGCATTATCAAATATGTTTCATTAGGCAAATAGAATACTACTATTAGTAAGAGGTGTGTATTACCTCCATATTTGGTAATAGTATTGATCACATTCTCCCTGTTATACATCACATTAAGTCCCTTGGCATCCATTGTCAACCATTTCAACGTAAAGAAAAATAGCTTGATTTTTTGAAAATACTAAGAAATTTTATTATAATAAATTAGGCAGTGTGTAGAACTATCAATAGATATTTTAATCTAGAACAGCCTCCTCACTTAACTATAATGATTAGCAGAAATATATGGTGGATGATAAATATAAACCTCTGCATAGAATGAAGTATGTCACTTGAGGATTCTGCTTGGGCTACTGAGTTTAAAAGCAATAGGCTGAATTTACACTAAAATAAATAGTGAGATATCAAATACTTACTGATGGCATTCAGCAAAAAGCATTAAGTCATGTGAATAGAAACATATTGTATTCTGTAACAGAGCATTTATGAATCCGGGTCATATGTAGAATCAGCATTTCATTTCCATCCTTCTCTGTGATCACTCCCTTCCAAACACAGTGATCAAAGCTTTACCATGTCAACTCTAATTTCCACGTTGCATTTTCACATTACCCAGTCAGTATCCTTTTACTCCTTGCATTTCCAGATGATTCCTTGACACTCCATAAAGATGTTTTGTCTTTTCTTTTTTTTTTTATTCCCACAGTCTTCCACCTGCCTCTTTGCAAAATTAGATTCCTCCCAGTATTGTGACCCTCTCTTTCCACATATGGTAGACCTCCCTCTCATAATTATTCTAACCACTTCTGGCTTGAATACCTATTCCTTTTCCTGTCCATATTTTCAAGACTTCAAAGTATATACACACTATGATATATAGTTCAAATGCAGCAACACTTATCAAGTTTAGGGCTATCATAAAAAGGGGTTAAACTATATGAAGACAAGAAGGAAATAATAACAAAATGAAGGATGGAAGTTTCTTTTTCGAGCAGAAGGGAGGTATAGAAGGGGTTGTTTCTAGGGTGTCAGGTATGTTCTTTATCAGAGGAGAGCTAAGCTGGTGTTTGTTTGCTTTACGACCGTTTATTAAAGCTTACATGTAATCAGGGTTTCCAAAGAAAATATAATATACGTATATAAATAAGTAGATAGACAAAATACAGCATAGAAGTGTGAAATTTGTATAAAATTATAGATCTGTAGGTATTTATGCATGTGTGTATATGTATGTACTTACACATCTTCAGATATATTGAACAAGACATACTTATGTATATACACATATATGTATATATATATATATATATATATATATATATATATATATCCCCTGATTGTTCAGACAGTAAAGAATCTGCCTGCAATGCAGGAGACCCAGATTTGATCCCTGGGTCAGAAAGATTCCCTGGAGAAGGGAATGGCAACCCACTCCAACATTCTTGCCTGAGGAATCCCATGGACATAGGAGCCTGGCAAGCTACAGTCCATGGGGGTCACAGACAGTCAGAAACAACTGAGTGCCTAACACTTTCACTTTCATACTTAAATTTTAAGCAAAAATATGCCCCATGCATAATGGTGAGATAAATCCATATTATATATGTATTTTAATGTTTCCATAAAATATATCCATATTGCTTTGGACATAATTGATTATATATACATATATATGTATATGTATAGATACACACACTATACAATATATGGCATTTATGTATACACATATACATACATTATACATGTATACTTGTTGTTTCATCTCACATTATACATATAGTATATTTTTGTTGTTGTTACCCATCTCAAATTCACATTTAGTTGGGTGTCCTGAATTATTTGTTAAATCTAGTAACCCTGCATTCCATTTGAATATACTTCTCTGATTATCATATTGTGATATTTAAAATAATAGTGAACCTAATAATTGTTATAATAAAATGTAGAATATCAGCTAACCAAGAAGAAAACAGTCTGTAGAGATGAAGTAAAAGACACTGGACCTAACGAAAAAAAGTAGAAATGAGATAATTCTGTTTAGTGATGGTTTAATACCATCCAATTGAATAATTTGAAAGTAATGAAAGAACAACCAAAGTAAAATACCCAAGATGAATTTCTATCAATTTACCCAGTAGCTACAACATTACTGGTAATAAGAAAATATTCACTCTATGTGGAAAAATTTCCCTAAGACACACATCCAACAGGTCACTCAGTTCTATATTTTTAAAATACTGAAGTATTTTTTTCATGTTCTATATTTTTAAAATACTAAAGTTGAATATGGCAATGGAAACATCATCACCTTTAGTGTGAAAAGTCATAAACTAGGGCCCAAGCTTTTCCACTCACCATTTGTATGACCTAAAGTTACACAATATTTACTCAGGTAATTTTTTCCTGAGTCTCATCTTTTTCATTTTAAAAATGAGGAAATCCCAGCTCTATTTTGAGCATTAAATAAAAATATTATGTAAAGAGCATTGTGTAAATGGAAATATTTCTATATGAACATATAAATAACATTTTGCAATCTAATATTTAAATGCAATAATTAATGCCTGATAATATCATTCTAAAGGATAATGGACAAAAGAGATGAACCATGTAAAATATTCCTGCTTTATTTCTACACAGAATCAAAAAGAAAGGGTTAAAGATAGGGGCTCCTTCTTTCTGTTTTACAAAAACTTAAAATACCCTGCTTTTAGTGTATGCATCTTTAGATGAATTAACATCTATAGACTGACCCCCCCACACACAATTGTTTTTCCAGTCAGAATTTCATATTGTTTTTCCATCATCTATTCCCCTCAGTGTAAACAATGAGTGGTTAGACTTAATCACAAGTCAGGAATCCTGAAAGTATAGCCTGGCAAATGAGAATATCATGGCATTCACCAGAAGGTCAACGATTCCCATTGTTTTGTAGGGATAATTATTTTCTACATTCTTCGGGATATTAAAAATTCTTGTGGTGGTATTCAGAGAGCGCAGAGATCACAGTGTTAGCCCAAATGAAACATAGCTTGATGAGAATGGTTGGAAATTGCTGATATCCATTCTCCAAGAATGTTCTTTTTTCTAACTCTTCATCCTCTTTCTGTTTTTGCTTAGCGATTGTTGTACTTTTCATCACCCTGAGACGCAGCAAAAAAGAGCCCCTGATCATTTCAGAGGAGGATGTGCGGGAGAATGTGGTCACCTACGATGATGAGGGGGGCGGTGAGGAAGACACGGAGGCCTTTGACATCACCGCCTTGAGGAATCCATCTGCTGCTGAGGAGCTCAAGTACCGCAGAGATATCAGACCGGAAGTGAAACTTACCCCCAGGCACCAGACATTGTCCACCCTGGAAAGTATAGATGTTCAGGAATTTATTAAGCAAAGACTAGCGGAAGCCGACTTAGACCCCAGCGTCCCTCCTTACGACTCTCTGCAGACTTACGCCTACGAGGGTCAGAGATCAGAAGCTGGATCCATCAGCTCCCTGGATTCAGCAACTACTCAATCAGACCAGGATTATCAGTACCTTGGAGACTGGGGGCCCGAGTTTAAAAAATTAGCTGAACTCTATGGAGAAATAGAATCTGAAAGAACAACTTAGGGGGTTAATCCTTGCAACCTTCTAGAATTTGCTTCCTGAGCAAATGGAGATGTAACCTCAGCAATGGCAAGGAAGAAGCTTGGAAACAGTACTTGGACCTGAACAAGCAGAGCACAGCTACTGTAGAAACAAGTGCCCTTTTCATGATTGAAACTGGGTTATTTAAAGGGAAGAAAGTCAAATTAAAAAAAAAAAAAAGAAAAAATCAGAGCAAAAGCTATTGTTCCTTGTGTATATTTTCAATCGCTCAATAAAGTCTGTGTACTGTTTAATGAAGAATACCTGAATTAAGCCAAACAATGATATTTGTTTCAATATTTTGTGATTTCTTTTCAAAATCAAAACTAAACAAAAAGTTTCCAAATCACTTAAGGCTCTGATTTCTAGGGGTGGTACACTGATAATCACGTCGTGGTGAAGGTAATCATGACCTTCTCCCAACCTTTTTTGGGTGGACTTGAGATCCACACCCTATTATTGTGACACAGCTCATTAGCTTTGTCTTCTTGAAATGACAGGAAGCATTTCCAACCTACCAGGCCACTCCATCGTGGACTTGTATGTACCATTTTCCTTTGCCCTCCCCACTTCTTTTCTCCATATGGAATTGATGGAGCATGGGGATTTGCTGCTTGCATTATGATGTATGCAACTTCTGTGCACCAGTTGTGCACTGCTCTGAATCATGGAGACAATGGTCTCTGTCCTGCCTGTGCCCCTTTAACAGGAGAACCCCGTTTTTTAAGTGGATAGAATGAATGTTTTAAGATATACTCAGACCATCTGATATGTCAGGGAAAGATTTTATTTAAAAAAAAAAAGCAAACTGCTTAACTTATCCTGTACAAAACATTGAGGAACTCTATTCTTTCTCTTTTCCATTTGTTTTAGGACATTTACATCAACAATTCTGATCATTCTTGTACCTCAAATTGGTTGTCAAAAATTTGATAATTGGTTTATACTTGAGTAATTTGCTTACTTTTAACATGGCAATCATTAAAAAAAAAAAAGTGTACCTTACATGATAACTATGTAGTCTGAAAAGATATCCTCTAATTTACATAAACTTCATAGACTTTTGATTGACTTGCCTTTATTCCTCACAGAGGCTCAGACTTCCCCCCTTCTCACTGTCTGATTAGCCTTTTATGTTTGGGGCTTACAAAAAATATGTAGGTCTAGTAGCAAAAAAACTGGAGGCTCACACTTATTATTCTCAGACATGTCTCTTAATGTCACTGAATTTTAGGGTCCCAAACTAGGAAATAGAGATGGCAAAGACTTTCCTGCCTATCTTACAGTTTATGTGAAGATCAATAGCATCTATAAAAATGTTTTCCCAATTGCAAAGTAGTTTGTTATGTAAAGGCTAGCAGACACTAATTTTCTAATTCCATTGGTTCCTAATTACATAGTTACATACTTTGTAAATGAAATAATACATTATCTTGGGAGAATTTAATGAAACTGTCAACAGTGAAGCGATTGCTAACTGAATATATAAAAGTTTAATTCTTTTGATATTTTCCCCAAATAATCTGATCTTTTTTTCAGAATTATCGGGCTTTTCCCCCCTAAATTGCTTAGATAACAATTTGCTGTTGTTGATATTGGTTGTGAAATAAAAATTTATAACATAGTGAGCCTATTCTGCAAAATTGAATATATCTGTATTTCAGATTAATTGGAATTTTGAAGTCCTCAAATTAAAATTTATTTTAAGGGCAAGTTTTCCTTTGCTCTTTAGGTCATTATAATTGAGAGTCCTCAAAAGTTATAGGACATTTTCTGTCTGATTCTACTCATTTGCAAAATTTTGAATTTTGCCTCTGTTCACAACTGCCCTGTGCTATTATTATTTTTCAGTTTTGAGGTATGGGAAGTAAGTAAATTTAATTTGAGTATTTCTCAATTTGTGTTTGAAGCCTGAGGAATAAAATGTAATTTAAGTGTTTTACAACATTTTAGCTTCCCAGATGCTGCTTGATCAGTTTTTAATCTCACAGTGGTGTACATTCCAGTACAAAGTTAAATCGGAAGAGGCACTCAAGGGCTTTGGGGAGCGACCTCTGGAGACCCATACTAATTATGGGAATGCTGGACTATACTCGCCCTGACGGAAGGGTACACCTTTGGAGAACGACTGTGGATACTGGTGTTTGGACTTTCCTAAGCAAAGAGGACCGTGGAGACCAGGTTTTGGAAGTCGAGTAGGCTTTTGGATTTATAATTTTGATAAACTATTCACAGTTTTTTTGTTTCTTTTTTTTTTTTTAATATTCATTTGGTGAGTTTACAGATAAAGGCTTGAGAGATGAGAATGTGTGTATGAGGCAAACTATTCAAACTTAAAAGCCAAGGTCCTCTACATGTTTGTGAGTATTGGAAGTCTTCCTCTGATTTCGTGGGAAAACACCCAGGTTCATCCATTTTTAATCATATATTATAATGATAATGGATTGTTTCTCAGCCCCTGATATTAAATCTCATATAGAGGCAAAATGGAGCTTCTGTAGTATTGATTTATATATTCTGATGTTGATTTATTTCAGAATTTTGTTAAGGAAAGCATTCCAAATATTATTTTTATATAAATTCTAAAATGAGGCAATTATATAACTATTATAAGTATGGATTGGGTCTCATATTTTGTACTGTGCTACTTTGAGTCTGAAAAAACAAGTGGTGTTGTTCAGTTGCTAAGCCGTGTTCAGCTCTTTGCCACCCTGTGGACTGCGGCACACCAGGCTTCCCTGTCCTTCACCACCTCCTGGAGTTTGCTCAAATTCATGTCCATTGAGTTGGTGATGCTAATCATCTTATCCTCTACTGCCCTTTGCTCCTTTTGCCTTCAATCTTTTCCAGCCTCAGAGTCTTCTTCAATGAGGTGGTTCTTTGAATGAGGTGGCCAAAGTATTTAAAAATATTCTGCCAATGAACTGAGTCATTTAGGACTCAGTGGGGTCTGACTCCTTGTGACCCCATGGACTGCAGTCCTCCAGGCTCCTCTGTCCATGGAATTCTCCAAGCAAAGATATTGGAATGGGTAGCCATTCCCTTTTCCAGGGGATCTTCCCAACCAAGGAATTGAACCAAGGTCTCCTGCATTGTATGTAAATTCTTTACCACCTGAGCCGCCACATTCAATACTTTATTCTAAAAATTTCAGCTTATCAGTGTTTGAAGATAATTCTCAAGTAGTTTAGTGAGCAAAGAGTTTGAACATACTTTGAGCCCTCTCCAGGCTCAGATAATCAGCTATAGACTGTGTGATTCCTTATGGATTCAACCATGGAATCACTAATGTGTCTCAGCATATAATCAGTAAACCTTGATTGATATTTGTATATCTAGTTAAAATATAACTTTGAAATCAATATACTTATTTCCAATAAAAGAATTTTCTACAGACAGACCTAATACAATGTGGTGGCTGCTAAGTTAGAGGAAATACAAACTGTTATTTTTTATTCAATGTCTTTCTTATTAAAATCTATAAATTCCAAATTACCTTTGTGCAAATGTAGGTCTTGCAAGCTTTACCTGATCGCTTAAAATTATTTCTATGATAAATATGAACATATATAGATTCAAAGTGGAAATTGAAGAGGAAACTGTCCTAAGATGAAATTCTATATAAAGTTATGCCTTTTCCATTATCAAGTATAAGAAGGAAAATATGCTGGGAAATGGCCTTCATGTAACCACGCAATCACATACACATGTGTATCCATATATGTCTTCATGAAGAGTACTTAGATAAAAGATTACTCAAAATAGTGACTTAGCTATTGATATGATTTAAATATGATATGCATACAAAATTTAAGTACTCAGCATATGGAAAATTCAGCAAGAAGTTAAGGAACATTTTGGGGAGGGCTTTTATTTTGTGTCTAGCCTCAGCCTAAGCTTCAGTACTGGCCATGATTGAAGCTGATTCACAGAAGTGATTTCACAGAGCAGAAAAAAATATCAAATAATGATAAATCAAAAGTTTAGAAATGATGATTTAATGCACATACTGTGGCAATTAAATACAAATAAGTGCTTTGGCTTAGATTCTTAGTGTACTACAGTGTAGAAGTCTGGATCAAAGAAGGGCAATGTACTAAATTATTTTCAGCAATGCTGAAAGTTACATAAATGATTAGTCATTGTTTTATTTGTTCCTGTGGACCTAGATCCATACTTAGGTCTGTTTCCCTTTTGGTTTAGCTGAATATACAGGTAATACACACAGAAATTCAGGTAGACTTGTTCATGTCAGCAACCATCAAAAATTATCCTGATTAAATGAGCGTGGTTATAGGTACACCAGACATACATAAATAACATTATTTTTTTTTCCATTTATTTTTATTAGTTGGAGGCTAATTACTTTACATCATTACAGTAGTTTTTGTCATACATTGAAATGAATTAGCCATGGATTTACATGTATTCCCCATCCCGGTCCCCCCTCCCACCTCCCTCTCCACCCGATCCCTCTGGGTCTTCCCAGTGCACCAGGCCCGAGCACTTGTCTCATGCATCCAACCTGGGCTGGTGATCTGTTTCACCCTAGATAATATACATGTTTCAATGCTGTCCTGTTTCAAGAGGACATTATTTTTTTAAAAATAACATTATTTATTTAAAATAAATAACACTATATTTTTAAAAAAGGCAACTCATCCCAGTGAGGAGGTGAATTCATGAAATCCAATACTTTTGGATTAAGCCTTCATCTGCTTTTTAGTGTGGACAGTGCTTGACTAGCTATTCAACAAAGCAGAACTCTAAAGCTGATCATTCTGGAAAGAGGCGAGAGTTCCATTTTTCAAGCTCAAATTGTACTTAGCTTCAAGGTATGGTAAAATTCAATTAATATGCTTGGCTTTCACTTTCAAGAATAGAACAAATCCCACAACTGTTCTTGAAAGATATGTGACTCAAATTTCAATTCTCTCTCTTTTTTATCCTTTAGGATTAAAGACAAATTAAATATTATCTGAAGAAAACAAAACCACTTCAGCTTTTATTTTCTACATCATCTGCAGAAGGTAATTTTTTTAAAATAAAAGATTAGAAATTATAAACCCAACAGTCAAAAGTAGTTCACCATCATTTGAAGATAAAAGTAGCACAGAACCCACTCTTTTTTTCAGGTTACAAATTCAGCGTTTTAAAATGAAGACACTAATAGCAACAGTTTTTAACATGTTGAAAGATGTATTCTGCCCTCAGCTTATACCAATGAGTGATGTAGTGAGGAATTTGTTTTTGTTTTGTAT